GATACCAAGGGGTGTGTGCGTACTGACCGAAAAGGAACATATAAAATAGCGCATCCACGTTTAGCATAACCCCACTTGGCTCCGTTCTAATCCCAAAATAATATGCAATGATAAATCAGTGAATGAAGGGAAGTAGTGCTAGTCCATACACACCGATACCCAAAAATCAGGATCTAAAGCTTTGAGATCGGTATTAAATTCCTGTCCCAGCGAATGAGCAGCATCAACAACACTCCAAGCTTCTTCCGCTCGACAAATTTTAACCATATCTTTCCATGGCATGAGGATTCCTGGAGAAGACGTGATACTCTCGATGACGACTACTATTTTGCCTGCTGGAGCGGTCGTTGCACCCATAGCAGCAGCGCTGGTACCAGCGGCAGCGTGGACCTGAGCGTTCAGCAAGCGTAAATGAAGACGAAATTGATCCAAGATAGAAGAGTGAGAGAGCGGTAGGTTCAACGCGAATGTAGAGTGCTGAGGTCGGTTTTCTCCTGCGCATATTTCTTCAACAATTGATAATATGGTATCGTATATTGTGTCGGCTGTTTTTTTCACAAGCATCAGTCTGAGAAAGGATAGATCTGAAGGAGCCCAGGAGAGAAAAACACACTAGAGACAATGATGTCTTGAGATGTCCACTTGAAATTTCGTAGGACCGTTGCAATCCCAGCAGAGACGCCAGGAACAAAGACACATGTATCCCGTTCCACACCAATATGGTCTGCAACCACCGCCCTTGCGGTGTCAATCTGAGCATTGTATTCTTGACGGATATATCGATCTGGATTACGCTCGATGTACCGGGACAATATTTCACCCGCTTCATGAACAGCCAGAGGCACTGATCCAAAAGATCCTGTATGTATCTCATCATCAGTCACAAAGAGTGATTTCAACATATAATATAAGCTTACCGTGGTTCAAGTTGGTGTATTCTTCATCCAGCATGAAAAGCGAACGGGCTTCTTTTCCATATGTTTTTGGCGGAGGAGTTGTCTTGAGAACATGTAGAATACTGGTGTTTACCTCCTCTGCTGTACTGAGTTTTGACATTTTCTCCGCTATCTGGTAGTTGTCGTTGAAATTCTGGGGTATTCCTAGTGTAGCAGGCACTTATATATAAGTATCAAGCAACAGATGATCAGGTAAGTTACAGACAAATCTACATCATGATATGCTGATGAAACTGTTACGATCTTTCCTGACCATTTTCTAGGGCTTGGACCATATTGGTTTGTAACATATCTGTTTGGTTTTATTATTCAGTTCCTTGGATCGGATGGATGACCATGGATAGATACACATAGTATGCCGCTAGTTTAGCATTCAGGTTGAATAGTGTCTGATCCAGTTTACTAGAAACCATATCGGTGGCGTTGAACAATTGCATGAACTGTCACTATCACTAGAGGGAGCCCACTTTAGAACAAGTGGGTGTTCAATGCGCCCTGTAATCGTAAATATCACACAAACCACTGAAATAACGGTTGAAGGAGACGTGAGTATGTACGAAGCGGGAAAGGAAAGAGAACCGGACCAAAGAAGGGGATAGAGCACTACCCCAGTTAAGTATCGACTGCTGAAAGCTTTCACAGCGGACATGAGAAATTGTGTAATCCAGGGTAGAGAAGAGTGTGTAGAAAGAGATGCGACATACGTAAGCTCCCAAATCAAGACGGACACTAGAGTGTTTGCTACGGGATAAAATTGCGATTTTCACCCCGAGATGACGTCGAGATGGAATACGTGACGTCTCGATTCTTGCTTGAACAAAACAGAGAGTGACCCACGTGTTTTGACGACCTTCGAGATAACGACGGGCTGAAACCAGCTGCAAATACACTCTAATCACAAGCAACAGGGTTCATACAACCAAGTCGAAGAAAAAGGTTGTGAATAGTCGTGAGGGTAAACGAATTGTATGTTATCACCGACTGAGCAATATGCAGCTTTACGCGAATATCAAAAGGTAGTTTCGAACCTAATGCCAGCTCTGTGTATATAACCTTTTAGCTGGGCGTCATATACAACGAAAATCAAGATCAGAAAATACGTTTCTGCGCCAAATATCGTATCCCCCATCGTTCCAGAAGATCGTGTCGTGAAAAGACTCCGTGATGAGTTAGGAACAGCAACACGCAAGGACGTTGATATGAGGTTGAAAGCCGGAGGCATGGATGGGAATAATCACGGACGGGATCAATGAGGCTCAATCAGGCACTGCTAGGAGCGCCGTCTCTTCAACCACCCTTCGACTAGAATCCACTACCCAGCCTCAGTGCGATAACCGTATCCTTCTACAGACAGAATTAAATGCGTGTTCCTTTTCAGCTAATGTTGTACTTGGATGAATTTGTGGACCGATCCCAAGTTTTGCAGGTATTTGACGACAATGAAATTTACAGCTCGATGTGCTCAGTGGGACTGGGAAGAATTTCGGAGTTTCAATTTCACGTGGTCCACTTCGTAAGTAGTGTGCTATTTGTTCTTCGGCCCATATTTTTTTATAACGTTACTCGTTAAACGCAAGCTCTCGGTGGAACTACTCAAGGAAAAGATGCTCTCAGTATCTGTACTGTGTCCCGCTATAGTTGCGCTCTATGTCATCTTCTTGTTGGAGATTTATTGAAGAAGCACTTCTCTTGCCCAGATGCCAAACGTCGAATAGCTGTCTGAGCCATCGGACTACCATCATGATCCTCTTAGCTGGCGGTGTCCTTCTAAGGACGGTCACCTCTGACACAGCCAGTCGTCACGCTCTCAATGGTGATCCAAAGTCCCGCAGCGATACACTTGTCACTCCGACGCTGCCTATCTCTATATTCCCTGCTCTCTCTCACAATTTCGAGGCCTTTGCTCAATGCTACCCCTCATCGAACACGGAGATTTTGCGCTCAAGAACCTCCGAAGATATTCGATGAGATCTGCAATCCATTCATAGGGAACTCGTAAAGTTCGCCCTTCCATCATGATATCAATGTCGATGCAAGATGTCAGTGCAACAAAGGATTGTTCGGGCGCATTCTCCGTGACCGTCAATATCATAAGTACTAGCCTGGCAACTCGTCTAGCTCAATCATCCGTTTACTTCTATACCCCCCTTTCACTCATTCCTTATCCCTTCTCCCATTGACGACTTTCGTCAAAATGCTTTTCCTCTTGGCCTGGTGAGTGATTGTCATAATTGTCGACCGTTTTGAAGATAAAGATTTGATTACAAGGTTGCCGGTTTTCCTTTACTCTGTTGTTCAAACAGTGTCGTCCGCGGGGGTTATCGGACCTGCTAGTTCAGGCCCTACAATGACCGTCTCTGAAAAAATAACGGCAACTTGGAGTCTCGATGCGGGGGACTCTACTCTATCTCAAGGCTTCTCTATGGTTCTCGTCAACGACGCCGCCGATGAGGCAATTGAATGGTCTACAACGGTGAATCCCTCCGGGAAAAGCATTGGCACTATACATCCCATTCCGACTGCTACAGGGTACGCCCCCAAGCGGTGTTCTGTCATTATCCCACTATGTCAAATCGTTTAATGCGTCATGATCGTCCAGGGTACATCGCGTTGAGATCTTAGCCTTTGGAAACTCGTACGCGATATTTCTACAACAGTCCTCCCGTTGGGTCTAACAGGCCCGTTAGTGCTAATGGCTCTACGAGTTCGTCGAGTTTCGGTGTAGCTCTGTAGGCATTGTCGTCCAAACTTTTCGTAAATTTTGATAAAACTCAATACTACCGTAAAGGAAAAACAACTCGGATCCGGAGAGTGACTCGAATACAGATAGCTCGAGTTCCAAGGAGGAAAAATCAAGCTCGTCGTCAACATCGATCGCGAGTAGTCAGCCAATTTCTTCTGATTCTCACTCGTAAGTTTCTAGCTCAATCTGAATTAATGAACTGTCTATTTGAACTAAATAATGACATTAGCACAACCAGTCCATCCCCTACTAGTGCAACTTCAACAATTTCGAGTACCGGAGGTTCCGTATCGTTGATGATGAACGTGACAACTTCTACCCCGAACTTCCCTGCAACGTCAAAGTCAACTTCCACCTCGAACCCTCATCCGAATTCCGAAGGCCTCAGCGATTTCGATATCGGCATTATCCTCAGCGCCGTATTCGGCACAATTATTCTCATGCTACTTCTCCTTGCCATATTCCTCATCCTTCGTCGTTCGAGGCCTGAAAATCAGACCCAGACCAGACCTTGGTACCAATCTGAGCGTTTCCGGTGGGGTCCGCCTCTAAGGGGATCAGAGGGCTCAAGAGGGGATAGTCCGGAACTGTACGAAACGTCGAAGACTGCCCCGATGTCAATATTGAATATCCCGGAATCATGGGATGTGTCTACGATAGCGCCTTCTGACTCGGTTTCGCGGTTTGTTTCGTTGAATAAAGGTCGGGAACTATATGGAAGAGCAAGAGAACGGGGGCGGGGCCGGGAATCGGTGCAGAGTCAGCGAATCCAGAAGAATCGGCAGAGTCAAAGTAGTCGGCAAAGTAGACTTCATATACCTGCAGGCAGCATTCATTTTAGGAAGGATAGTAGGGATTGTATGGATGATAACAGTAGGGATAGTACTAGAAAGAATGATCTTCAATGGAGGGAGGAGGGATCGGATGTGGGAACGAGTGTTGTGGAAGCAACAAATTGGGTCCATGCTGGAGGTCCGCAACTCATTCCCCAGATTCGCAGCAATGGAGCGGAAGGTGGCCGTCCACAATAGGAAGCTTTTCTTGTACATATGTACCCTCATCTTCATAAGTGCGTTAGACATAGATTGTCACATATACCTTTCGGACTCTTTGTGTAGTATACCATAGCAGAACAGCTTTTTCGCAATGTTTGTGCCAAATACATACTTCTACTGGGGAAGTAACAACCATGTTCTGTCGGATTGTTCGAGCGTCCCCTGATGCAACGTTTTGCAACTGTTCTTTTCCGGCTTCAAGTCTATGAGAGTGATTAATTCCATAAGAAATCGGGAACCTTTTGTGGTGAGATGGCCGAGTGGTCTAAGGCGCTAGATTTAGGTCGTTCGGAATCTAATCTCTAGTCATTCGTGGCGTGGGTTCAAATCCCACTCTCATCAATCTGTAGACGAAATGGTCAAATATTGTCCTCATTTTTAATTCTTGACTGAAAATCTCCGTAGCACATTCAAAACCCCACCACTTTTCTTCCATGTTTGTCTGGCTTTGTGTCTTTGCAAACGAGGTTCGAGTATGGAGATGTTTAGATAAATTGTAAGGGTAGAAGAGTGAAGGACTCCAGGTGTTACCGTAAAAATATCGATAGGAGTTCAAGAAGTAAATGAGTTGATTACATACAATGTTTGTTGTTCAGAGGGTTCTGGAAAAATTGTCTGCTAGCCATCCTGGAATCCAAGGAACGGCGGAATAAGGGAGGGACGAGATAAGCGCAATGACACCTACGTGGCTTGAGGCGGATGTTTTAGAGAAGATTAAAAGCACAGGGAACCGTGCACAAAATCACGGGAATTATCGGGGGATACGTATGCTGTTTGTGTATTGCTTGAGGCAGTGGCAACATGGTATTCTTCAATCCTGCCAGGAGAGTCTTTAACCCACTAGGAAATATCAAATGGCGTAGCGAGCGGCAACTTGAAGAAGACGGCAGGACACAGCAAGAGAGGGCAAAGCGTCTGCGAAAAAGCGGCCAGAGGCGGCATAATGCGCCTGTCTCGGCGTAACGTTCTGATTGATGAGTGAAGCGTGTTTTCGTCAGCATTGAAGCAGGAATACGGTACCTAAGTATTCGTCAGCACTAAGTTACAAGTTCTATGTAAGTTCGGCAACCCATCATACTAACCCATGCCTGGATATGCATGGTTTCTTCTATCTTGTTCTATTTTTATCGTGTTGTTAAATCAGGAATGAGTTCGAGGACCTTGATATATACAAAGCCGCCATGGACGAATAGTTGTAACTTGTAGCAGGATTCCTAGGTTTTAGACCTTTATTATTATTAAGAGGATTGATTCTTGATCTCGGTTGGTCGTGCCATAGACAGATGGTCATAGATCATTTAGATGCATAGCCGGTCGTGTCCGTTCCCCGAGCTGGTGATATCATTCAAGTGTAGTGTGATAGACCAATAATACACCAACGAAATGTCTATATAGCTCAAACAGCAGTTGCCACAAGTATTAGATGGGGTATAAGAACGAATCAAAGTGCTTGATTGGGATAACGATGAAGCGCAGCCGTTCAAGTCCGAGGGGAAACGGGAACCTGGAAAAAACATTCGTGCAATTTAGAAGGCGTGCAGGGAGTAACATCTTCTAAGCGAGAGGAACGGCCGAAATAAAAGCAGCCAAGCAGTGGCAAAGCAGCCCAAAGAACGAAGATGGAAGCGTCAATAATTAAATGAAAAAGAGGCGCCCGGGGTGGTTTTAATTCGGGATGGTATTACCGATAAGTCATTGGTCATACACCTTGGCATCGGCAAATCCAATTTCGGAAAATCTGGCAAACACACACCTGTTCTGCAAACAGTTGCACAGCGCCCCCCTCAAGAGTTCCAGCTCAATTCACTCCTTTCTTTAAACCTTCAACCGTGCTGGCTCTCGGTCTGGGCGCTTATTACTGCTTTTAAAGATGTCCTTTCTCAAACGACCTTCAACCGCAAGACATACAGACAGCGATGAGGAAGAAGATGACAATATCGATCCAGAATTGCGGTTAAGGACAGTCAGAACTGCTGCTTCAGCTCTAGAAGAGTCGATACGTACAGAGGAAAAGGCGCAAAGGAGGAAAACTAGACGAAGAAGACGGTTGTTCGGTAGTAGGTCAGAGAAGAAGCGGTCGCATGAGCCTCCAACTGGCGTGGATAGTGGTGCTCCTTCGACAGAAATACCTGGAGTCCGGAGGAATGTTTATGTAAACCATCCTCTGGGTCATTCCGAACTTGACCAGAATGGAGAACCTATCGCCAGGTATGAGCGTAATAAAGTCAGGACCACAAGTGCGCCATCTATTTCTTCGAATTTTTGCTCGTTCTCATATCCTCTATTAAGAATACACAATCATCACATTCCTCCCCAAGAATCTTTTCGAACAGTTTCGTCGGTACGTCACACGTTATATTTCTGTTCAGTGGTTCTTTCTGATACATTTCCACAGTGTCGCCAATCTTTTCTTCCTTGTACTCGACGTTGCACAATGTATGCATTCACGCATCACCTCATATCCTGCTGCTAACCTGTCTTTACCGTAGTATTTCCTGTATTCGGTGCCGCAGCAGGCGCTATATCCGTCCTTCCTCTCGTTTTCATTCTCGTGGTGACTGCGCTGAAAGATGCCATCGAAGATTACAGCAGAGCCCGCCTCGATGACCAAGTGAACAACTCAGCTGTTACCCGTATTGGTGGTTCATGGCGTAACGTGAATCTTGCGAAAGATCCTCGTTCGTGGTTCGACAAACTCAGGGGTGTGCCTCCTCCAGGGCAAGTTACCAAGGGTGTGCGGAAACTGCGGGAACGGGAAGCATCTGAGGCTGGCGCCGTGATGCGAACAGCGTTGATTCGGTCGAATACTTCTCAAACCGCGTTCACTGACTACCCTAGTAGTTTCGATATTCCTAATCAAGGTGCTGGAGGGAGGAAACTCGAAGATATACAGAGTGTTGACTCACATAGCTATCCGCCCGCAGGAGAACCCATGTCAAACCGATCATTTTCAGAATCCTCAACTCGGATTGGGCTAGGTTCTATGTCGAATTATGCTCAGAGCCACTACTCGCGTTCGAGTATCGGTGTCGTGGACTACCGAAAGCATGTCGCAGGCGCAGCTACCTGGGAACGGACTCTCTGGAAAAAGCTCGAAGTCGGTGACATTGTACTGCTCAGAGACAATGAACAGGTTCCCGCAGACGTCGTCGTTCTAGCGACTTCAGATCCAGATGGCATGTGTTATCTGGAAACCAAGAACTTGGACGGCGAAACCAATCTCAAACCTAGACGTTCTGTCAAAGCTACCATGGGGATCACTTCCGAGGAGGACATCGAGCGGTCATCATTTTATCTTGATTCGGAACCTCCACATCAGAATTTGTATTTGTACCACGGTGTTCTTCGGTACAAGGATTCCATAACGGGTGAACGCAAGCAGGAGCCGGTGACAATCAATGAACTGCTGCTTCGGGGGTGTACGATACGGAATACGGCTTGGACAGTGGCACTAGTTGTTTTCACGGGCGCAGATACCAAGATCATGCTGAATGGAGGGGAGACACCGTCGAAGCGGAGTAAGATTGAAAGGGAGACGAATTTCAATGTTATGGTCACCTTTGTTCTGCTTCTTGCTATGTGTATCTTTGCGGCAATCTTGAATGGGTTGCAGGATGCCAAGACGGGTACTAGCGCCGAGTTCTTCGAGATCGATGTGGATGCGACGGATTCGCATATCCTGAACGCCCTCGTCACTTTTGTGTACGTTTGCTCTTGTTTTTGTTCACAGCCCAAAACCTCGTCTAATTGTCTCATCTTCAGCTCATGCCTTATTGCCTTCCAAAACTTAGTACCCATTTCCCTCTATATATCCATCGAAATCGTCAAAACTATTCAAGCCTATTTCATTTCCCAAGACGTCGACATGTATTACAAACCCTATGACGCTCCCTGCGTCCCCAAAACCTGGAACATCTCAGACGACCTTGGCCAAATCGAATACATATTCTCCGACAAAACGGGTACCCTCACTCAAAACATCATGGAATTCCAGAAATGCTCTATCAATGGTGTAATCTATGGTGAAGGCGTTACAGAAGCCCAACGCGGAGCAGCCACTCGCGATGGGAATACTGCGGATATGCTCAATCCAGAAGAACTGAACGAGAAACTGGCGAGTTTGAAGCAGCAGATGATCAACGTCATGGAGAGGTCGTTCAAGAATCGGTATCTGCAACCTGAGAAGTTGACTTTGGTCGCACCAAAATTGGCACAGGATTTAACGGATAGACAGGGCTCCTCGCCTCAGAGAGCACATATCAGCGCGTTCTTCAGAGCGTTGGCCGTTTGTCATACAGTCTTATCGGATAAACCAGACCCGGAGAGGGATCCGTTCCATTTGGAGTATAAAGCCGAGTCACCAGATGAAGCTGCTCTTGTCGCTGCAGCGAGGGACGTTGGATTTCCGTTCATCAACAAAGGCAAGGATGGGGTAGATATTGAGGTTATGGGTCAGAAAGAGAGGTATGAGGTGTTGAAGGTTCTGGAATTTAATAGTACCCGAAAACGAATGAGCGTTGTTGTGCGCAACCCCGAGGGTAAACTTGTCCTATACACCAAGGGAGCCGACAGCGTCATCTACGCCCGACTTGCATCAGACCACAATGTGATGGTGAAAGACCAGACGAGCAAGGATATGGAGATTTTCGCGAATGGGGGGCTGAGGACTTTGTGTATAGCGTATAGGGAGCTGGAGGAAGACGAGTATCTGGGGTGGGCGAGGAGGTATGATGCTGCGGTGAATGCGATTGAGGGGAGGGATGAGGAGATTGATAAGGCGAATGAGGAGATTGAGCGTGGGTTAAGGATCTTGGGAGCTACCGCATTAGAAGATAAGTTGCAAGAGGGTGTTCCGGAGGCGATTGAGACGTTGCATAGGGCGGGGATTAAGTTGTGGATATTGACTGGTGTGTTACTCTAATCCTTCCTCCTTCATTTCATCGCCTTGTTTCTTTGTTTCATTCTTTTGATTTCTCAACTCAATAAAAGCTAATCCTCCATGTAGGTGACAAACTTCAAACCGCAATCGAAATAGGCTACAGCTGTAATCTCCTCAAACAACAAATGGATGTCATGATTATCTCAGCAGACTCTCCACAAGATGCACGCGCGCAAATCGAAGCTGGGTTGAACAAGATCGCGTCGGTGCTTGGCCCCCCATCGTGGGATATCAGGAAACGCGGATTTGTACCGGGGGCACGAGCGAGTTTCGCGGTGGTCATAGACGGGGATACGTTGAGGTATGCGTTGGCGCCGGAGTTGAAGGTGCTCTTTTTGAATTTAGGGACGCAGTGTGAGACTGTGGTGTGTTGTAGGGTGTCCCCTGCACAGAAGGCGCTGAC